GACCTATACAAATTTTTTCCTTTTGATTTTTTACCTGGATTACTGAGATGCATCAGGACATTTAGCAACTTATATGATGCATTTTATGCTGCAATGAAATGTCAAATAAAATGCAGTTATAAGTACTGATACTGGAGCTCAATGCAAATAATTAGTGTTTTTTATTCATTTGCATGTAATGTTTTTAATTGTATGATGAATCTTGTGGAGTTATGCCTCTCATAAAAAGACCTGTGATTACATGTCATACATAAAAAGTATCATCATGACGATGAGGTCACGTAAACATACGTCCATCTAAATAAGAGACCGTCTCATTTCACAGCMGATATGGGCTGCGTAGGGTTTGGGCTATGTGGGCTGCAAGCCCTGAATTGAGACACAGCCAGAGACTGTTATCTGGTGTTCATCCAYATGTATATCCCTCACACATCTGTCCATGTTCTCCCAAATCCCAGGTTAAATGAAGTTTAATGTTGTATGTGTACAAATTTGTAGCAAAGGTGAACTATGGAGGATAGGATGAAACACAAGTGGATTCATTATGAGCTGTGCAAATCTATCAGAATGTAATTAGCCCATGTTCTCACTAAAACTAAGAAAGTAGAACACATCAGCCCAATTCTGAAGTTATTACATTGACTCCCTGTATCACAGAGAATAGACTGCTGTCAGTTGAGAAATCACTGAATGGATTAGCATCAAGACACATTGTAGATTTGTTGTGATTGTCTCAATCTCCAAAACTACTAACTAACCCTAAYGCAGGTCTTAGTCCACATCCACAGAACCAAATCCAAACACGTAGAGGAGACATTTTATGCTCCACTAATCTGGAACAAACTCCCAGAAACACTGRGTTATTTTAAATAAAGTGTTAAAACCACTTTAGAGTTGCCTTTAACTGATCTGTTTAAACATCATTAATTTSAAACTTTTCTTTTCATGTCACTGTAATAGAATTTATGTTTTTATCATGCAAAGCACTTTGAATTGTCTTGTTACTATAGGGTTTTAATTTAATTTACACAGTTCAATGGTTTCTGCTGGTAAATAGTGTCTAATTTAATTAGCAGATACATTTATATTCAGTATCATCAGAAAGGCAATGGAATGGATGTGATTTTTTATTTTCTGAAAATAGGCCTCAAATGCAATTGAAGACCCATAAACATGAGAGAAGCTGCAGTAGAAAGTCCTGCTGTCAGGAAGGATTTAACCCTGGATTAAACTGTTTGATTTGGAGACAACAAGTTATTCTGGTTCATGGTGTCAGAGACAGCACAATCAGCTGAATCAGTCATTCAGGCTTTTCAAAGAGCTGTCTCAGTGCTGTGGTGGGATTTAAAACCAGTCTAGAGTTTACAAAGAAAACTTTTAAGCTGTCTGAACTTTTCCATAGCTTTCCACCCAAAAAAACGTTAAAGAAAAAAAAACTGGATTTCTATTAAAAGTTGAACTGTTATTATTTATTTATTTATTTTACACTTTTTACAATTTTTACAGTTTAAACAAAACATAGATACTTTCGTCTGCATCCAGTGTGTCTATCATTGCTGTTGGAGTTAGGGTTTTAATCCAGAGTACAAGCCCCCCAAACCCCACTTTGATTTCGACTGAATATGAGCTAAGATTTTTTAAAAAGAAATCTAGTCACATATTCATAAAAGCCAAAATAAAACACTAATTCATTTGTAAAATGTTTTTGTTTTGTTCTTTTAAAGTCACTAAAGACTGATCTTTAGCATGTGCAGAAAAAGGTTCATTGGAGTGCTGAAAATATCACAACAACGTGCAAGAGAAAAGGAAATATTGTTTATTAATTATTGTCAAGCTTTGGATAAAGAAGTGTCTCAGATGGTCCTGTCATCAACCACTTTTTCATACATGTGGAGGTGAGAACTGACTGGGTGGAGCAAAACTGTGTTGGTCTGATGGACGAAGCCAAAGAGGCTCACATTACACTGACTCTGACAGTGTGTGGTTTTAAATAGAGTACTTTTCAACTCCTCCCTTCAAAGATCTGTCTATTTTGGGGATAGTATGTTGGGGAGGKGGCAGAAAAGTGGACACGTTGCAGACCATTGGCTTCAGTTTAATCAAAAACGGTGACATACAGGACTTGGCTAGATCAGCAAATCTGACAAACTAGAGTTTTGATGCATGATTTGTAAAAAAATTAAATATTAAGATAAACAGTTTCAAGACTCAGCCTCAGAACTCAGTGTCAACACCTAGATGCTCAAATGTTCTTCACACCTCAAGATAAAATAGGATTTAGTGAGAGCAGCAAAACCTAACCTAAAGCAAAGGGCTTTATTCCCTTCAGACCAGTGGCATCCTTGAGTCCTCCCACTGGATCACTGAGAACATCATGTCTGTGACTCTAGGAATCAAGTTGTGGATTAAATTCTGTGTAGATCACCATGAATGTTCTGTAACACAGTGCTGCTGCAGGCAGCAAGGTAACCTTTATAAAACTAAACAAATAGTACTGCGGTCAATGTAAAAATGTAGCCACAGCGCAAACACAAAACTCTGTTAACCACAATCATGATCTTTTCTTCAGACCACAGAGTTTTACATTATAAACAACCAAAATTAAAAAGTATAAACATTGGTTTTGAACACTGTTAATGAGGTGTCAGGTTGGTTTGACAGCAATATTTGTGTTCTCGTGTAAAAACGAGAGATTCACTATTACTGTCAACATACGTCCTCTGGGAATGAAACAAAATTTACTGCGAGTCATGAAACCTTGGCCAGAACTTTGTGAGTCATCTAACTCTACAAGTAGGATGGTCTTCCACCCGCCTGCAAATTTATTAACCTAAGCCTTCAGTGAGTCAGTCAGTTTGTACAATGTGCAACTTCATGTTCCTTTGGAAGCCCAACACAATGATCTGAATCAACCATGTTTTCCTTCAGAGGATAGTCATTTTACCTGAACCTACCTCCATCAGTTCATCAAAACCTGACTCTCTAAAGTAAAATCTGAACTTTTGATGAAGTTGGAAAATCAAGCTTGTTCCACTAGTTCCTTATTCCTCCTCTAACCACTCCCCTCTACTCTTGGTAACTTAACTCATGAACAGTGCAGGCCTGCCCACCACCATTTGCCCCTGTCCATCAGCCTAAGTGCCCCCCTTCTTCTCAGCTTACCTCTTTTTCTGTTCGCTCTTGCATTAGTCCTGTCTGTGCCTTCAGCATTGACCAGTTAGTGACGGCTCTTCTCTCAGCCTCTAGCAGCGGTCTTAACTGATCATACAAAGGCTCCACTGGACCATAAGACAGCCTGTCTCAAAGCGGCCCCAGATTCAAGACAAGGACATTTGCTTTCCTGAGGATTTTTTTTCAGGACTTGGGAGCAAGTATCTAAATTAAAAATTGGAATATCTTCCTTAAAGAGGACTGTGCCAATTGGATGATCAAAACTGGGGTCCATTTATTGCCGTAGTGCTTCATCAAAGTGTGTGTGCCTCTAAGGGTTTTTAAAACCTAAAGCTGCAGTGCTGGACTCTTGCAGTGATTCCCGGTTGTTTTCTCGTTAGTTGACTAAGTCTTGGCCTTAAACATGGCGTCATTAAGAAGTTTGATTCTTGCTTTGTTGCTGGCACTGCTCTGCTCCTTCCACACCCCGCTGGCACCCACCGCAAAGGCCCAGGACCTGCCATTCCGCAATGAAGAGGGGCTAATGGCTGATGATGATGATGATGATGATGATGATGATGATGATGATGATGATGATG